TGCTGTGTCTTGTGAAAGAAATTTGATTTAGCTCAATTATCAGGTTTCAGGATGATGGATCAGAAGGAAATTCACAAATGTGCCTCTGAATGTGAGAGAGAGCAGAGGTCTTATCAAAAGACTTCCCTGTCTTTCTCTGTTACTGTTTTAGGTTCACATGCAAATTGAAGAAATTATATTTAATGAATACACATAACATTGTGTCACTGAGTTTACCCAACGGCTTTCTGATGGTTTGAAGTACATTTTTATTTTAAGTAATAATCACATACATACATTACTGTGTGTTGATGATGGGGGAATCACAAATAAATTAATGTAAAACAAAATGGATTACAAATGCTTCATATTCCTTTGTTGTATTACTAAGTAGTTTAAACAGTTCACAGTTGAAACAGTTCAAGAGAGCATCACACATTTTAATAAAGAAAGAGTTTCTAACCAGTTTCACATTGTCTTACACTTCTGAATAAAAACTTTCCTGCCATGTGTCTCACTCTTGCATCCTGTTTCATATAAAAATAAATACAAGCTCAGTTCTACATAAAGAGATTTGAAATAAAAGGCAATATTTTAAAATTATTTTTTACCAGTGAGTGTAAGGATCTGGTTCTTTTCTTTGTCCCACATTATAATAAACTAAATATCTTTGGGTTGTGGACCAATGGTAGGATAAAACAAGAATTCTGAAGTTGTCAACTTGTGGTGGGCGTTTCACATTCACAGTTCCCAGTGTTTAGACCAGATGATTAATCAGTCAATAGTTAAAAGAATTGTTATTTGCAGAGAACACAATTGTTAAGGGCTGCAAGTAATGATAGTCTTTATTAATTGTCCGGTCATTAAATTATCAGAAAGTAAAATGAGATGCTTGTTTTGTTCAACCAAGACTTAAAAACCTAAAGATAATGAGTTTATTATCACATAACACAACAATTTTTGGTTGAAAAACTGACCCTAATGATAAATTGATTTTCACAATAGTGGCAAGAGATTTCAAAACTGTCAAAACCCTAAAAAATACACGCTAAGACAAAATCTTCAAAGTCTGTCTAACTCCACTTTCCTGTGAACTTCAGCCAAGTATACTTAGGGCTATCTAATCTCAGTATTATTTGTGTTTTTTGCAGCTATAATTGCTGACATTGGCTTTAATTATGTAGCCTATTGTCTCCCTCTCTATACAAAAAGAACAGACGGATGGAGCCATTAATGCTGCACACACAGGTTTTACTGGCTACTCTTGTTATATTTTGTATTCACAGAAAGGGCCAAAAGATGGCAATAAAGTATCACAATCTAGACCAAAGCAATCACAAGTATGGTTGCCAGACTCTT